AGTAGTAAAACCAAGGATGTGTACGGTCACGCCTTTGGCTTTGCCACAATCATCTAAAGCACCTGAAACAATAAACTAAAATTGTAAGCAAAAAGCTTAGTGAGTTACCCCAAAGTACCACCACATGCACATAAATAACAAACAACATGCATACAGAGCCTTCAGCCTGACTGGAACGCCTCACCGGCCTACATACTATCTGGAATGCTCACAGAGCCTTCAACATGACAATAAATGCCTCACCAGCCTACAAACTATCTGGAACGCTCACAGAACCTTCAACATGACTGGAACGTCGCACTGGCCTATAGACTATCTGGAACGCTCACAGAACCTTAAACATGGCTGGAACGCCGCACCGGCCTACAAACTATCTGGAATGCTCACAGAGCCTTCGACATGACTAGAATGCCTCACCGGCCTATAGATTATCTGGAACGCTCACAGAACCTTCAGCATGTCAGGAACGCCTCATCGGGACTTCATCCTATCTGGACCCTTCTTTGGGCCTTCGGCCTAACTGGTATGCCTCTTAGGCATGCAGTCTATCCGGGATGCCCTGGGTCTCTTGGCCTTCAGTCTCCACTAGTCCGCCTCAACCCAACCACACATAACAACGTATCGATATAAACATTACCGGGTTTGTTGACTGGCAGCACAAAGCAGTACAGTCTCAACCCAACCACACATAACATGTCGACATATACATAACAGATACACACACACACAAACATATATATATATATATATATATATATATATATATATATATATATATATATAACCAGTCAACAGATAATCATGCAGATCTCAGATCACCAAGCATACCATCATCCTATATTCCAGGATACCGATCTAACAGATCACTACAACACGATAACATACTATCACATAACATGATATAAAGTCCAATGGGCCGGCCTTGGTGCCTTCGACCCGTAAATACAGTGAGGAAAACTCACCTCGCAAACTGGACAAAAGCTGATGAGGTCCCGACTTCGAATCTCAGCTCTCCAAACAACACCTATTCCAACCAAATGATCAATCTCCATCATAATCCTAAATTACCCAAAATACCCTTAAGGTCAAACTTGGTCAAAGTCAAAGTCAAACTGGTCAAACTAACTAAGTCAATTGAGTCAACAAAGTCGAGTCAACTCAACCGAATCAACTCAGAGTGAGTACGTGGGGCGTACTCCGAAGGTACCCTGGGCGTACTCCTGTCTTCGCATGTTGACCACCATCGGGGTGGTTGACCTCGTACACAAGGCGTACTCCGAGTACGCGGGGCGTACCCCCAGAATCTTCAAAACTCAATAAGTGCTTAATGGCTTAAGCACTCACGTCCATTTTTCATATCCATGGCTAAAATACTCTCAAAAGTCATAAAGTTTCCAACTTTATGACTTTTCATGCCCATAATTTCTTATCTCAACTTCTTAATTCATTAAGACATTCTAAAAGATGCATGGACCAAAACTAACCACTTGAACTCCATTTTTATGACTCAAGACCCTTCCAAGGGTCTGAAAGGACAGCTCAATGGGTCAAGAACATGCTATGTGCAAGAATCATCATCTTGGGACCAAAAAGTAACTTAATAGAGCAAAAACCTAGATCTACAAGATAAAGGGGTAAAGATGCAAGCTTTATACCTTCAAGATGCTTCAAACCAAGTAGAAATCCCAGATCCAAAGGTGCCCTCTAATCCAAGATCTTCTCACCACCTTCTCCTTTCTTCAAAAGCACTCTAAAACTTACTTTAAGGCTCAAAATTTCTCACACTTGCTCTAGGGTTGCTTGATGGTCGAAAACACAGAAGGAGGCTCGGTAAGAAGAGTGTTTGTGTCCATAAAGATGCTTAAATATGAGCCAAAGCCCTAAAATTAGGGTTTACATGCCACCCTCGTACGCCCAGTGTACTAAGGCGCACCTTAGTACGCTTAGCGTACTAAGGCGCGATTTAGTACGCTTAGCGTACACACACGTACGCATGACGTACTCATAAACTCCCATTTTACCAAATTGCCACAATGGGCCCTTTTCCACACTTACTTACACTTAAGGACCAAGAATGCAATATAATATCAATATAAGAGTCAACAATGAAAGTGCCTCAAAACCAGATGTTACAATAAAATTATGATTTTAATTGTTTATACAATACTTAATGTACTAGTATAGATTTTTTTTATATAAAAATAGATTTTATTTAACTTAATCTGCATATTATGCATGTATAATATATTTATGTTTGTTAATAATCAATTTATCATAAGTAAATGTTTATTTATTTACATATTTTAAAGGTTTTAGGATAAGTTAAGTTTGAGGGTTTTTTATTATTTTCATAAGAATACAAAATATTGGTTCTTAGTTGTGATTTTGAAACAAACAATTACTAACAAAAGGAAAAAAAAAAGGTTTTTGAATAAATAAGATGTGTTTTGTTACTTGAGTTTGCCTCTCTGTAACACCCCAAATTTCAATTGTTCAATGAAGGGCGAAAAGTGTAAATTTAGGAAAGGGACTCGACGAGTAGGTCCGCTTACTCACCGAGTCAGAGCGGGATTCTATCGCGGTTTAAGTGGCCAACTCGCCGAGTCGGTGGCTTGGACTCGACGAGTTGGTGCTGAAGAGAGAAAACCCTAATCCCGAGGGTTGCACCCTATTTAAAGGACTTAATGTCCTCCCCTCAGCTCCCTTAGCCCCCTTTGAGATCCAGAAACCCTATAATCATGAGTGAGAGCCATTGGAAGCAAATTGGAGCATTGTTGAGTGTTTTATGAAGAGATATTGAAGATCAAGAAGCTTGGATCAAGGAGATTTGTGGAGATTCGAATTAATCTTCAGAAGGAGGTCGTTTTGGAGGTAATGAATCGTTATCCTTGGCTTTCTCCTTTCTAGATCCATCTTTCATGG